TTTATTTTTTTGTTTTTATTATTGGTCAAAGGCAATTTCATCAAATACATTGTCCAACTAGGATAAATGGCCAAATTCCCCAAATACATATAGAACTGAGTGATTAATGTCTTCATTCTTTATCCAAATTAAAAACACAGTTTTAACTTCTAAAGAGGTTGAAGATACTACGAATGGAGCCTAATTAATTGAATTTCACCATCAGAATTCTGTTACTACTTACCATTTTGTCTTCTGTTAACTCATTCATGTCTCTTGCTTCGATTCCAAGTCGGTGACAGAGCTGGTTGGATTGTTCCTCCAGCCAATCGCAGCAAATTCTACAATGATTGGGCTTCCGAAAAAGGGTTCAAGATCGGCGACATTAATCGTAAGTCCAACTACCAACCCCTTTTCTTCTGGAATTAAGCAACTAGTTTGACACCCTTTGAAGTGTCAAAATCGTGGCCATTGATTTGAAGAAGTGTTGTTAAAATCAATGGTAATACTGTGTATCATGTTAAAGAGTTTAAACAAAGCTGTCAACAATGGTACAAGTGTAGCAAAACTGTTTCTTCTATTATGCTAGCAAAATGTTCCATGTTTTGTTTCTGTGCAACCTAGATTCACTCATCGTTCAAGCATACACAAACGTGGATACGTGATTAACATGTTATGTTCCCTTTTTCCGTGAATGTGTTAGATTAAGGTTTCAAGTGCAGAAAGGATTCAGCGATAGAAGTAAGTGAGACAGAGTACAAGAATTGCAATGCAACTCACCCTAATTTCTTTTCAAATACTGGGGACACCATATTCACCCTGGATAGCCATGGATTATTCTACTTCATAAGTGGATCATATGGACACTGCCGGAAAGGCCAGAAAATTATCATAAGAGTTATCGAGCAAGATCAAGTTAAAAATGCAACTCTTCTACATCCAAAAATCCTACCATTTTATCGTGCAAATTCTTTGTAATAGTTTTTGTTTTTTTTCTTTCTTGCTTGAATTCGATTGATAATTTGAGATATTTATGTTGGTTTTGGATTTTTTTTAAAGCTTTCAGGGTCTTGTCTTCGTGTTCCTATAATCAAGTTATTGGATTTCAGTTTTGATGTTTTATATACAATTGATTGTATTGTATAATTACAGTGCAAGAGAGTAGAAAAATTGGACAGGATAATTTGCTTAATCAATAATAGACTCATTAATTAAAATGTTAAATCATTATTCCCCCAAAACACATTTGGGGAAAACAGAGAGATTTGAAGAACTAGGTAACATATACCTTAGTTAAAAAGTAAGAAATAAATTTCAACCACCTTTCACTCCCCTTGGTTCAACCAGCCAACTTAACTGTGTCTCCATCAGATGCCTTGTTTCCCAGTTCATAGCTCCAACATATGCACAAACCTTTAGAAACAGCAAAGCCACTTTTTCTGCATCAAAGTAGCAGAATTCATCACCAAACTGTATAAAAATCTTCGTTTCTCTAGTACGTTGGACTAAACATCACCAGATAAAACTATGGGAATGTTACAAAATTGGTGCTTAACATGTTGCAGGAGTAGCACGTTCGTTCTCAACCTTTCACTATAGTTGCACAAAAAGTTATTGAAAACTGTCAAATCTCTTGATTAAATCGTCATATGACCCTCCTAGCTCTATGTAGCTAGATTTGTTTCACAACTTATTCAGACTAATACCAATCAAAGCCATTTCATGAATCAAAAATGACAAATTAACCAACCAACAAAACTACTTGTTACAACATGTGCTGTTTCCATGAGGGCGACATCACAGTTTCTGAAAGATTTAGATGATTTGTGCCATTGCAACTAAATGTGAAACTATAATTAAAGGCTCAGGATTAACTTTCTTATTTTTAAAAGTTGGTGGCCAACTTGCTGCTCTAGAAATAGGCCGATGACCCATGCATCAATTTACCTAAGACTAAAGATCGTAGTTGTCGTGTTCTCATGTTTATTCAAGCATACCAAACATGTAGCTGAGGGTTAAGTAATTAGTACCTTTTCACAATACTCATAAGAAGCGTTTGGTTGAGATACAGTCTGCGATGGTGGTGCAGCAGTTGCAGCAGTTCCCGTGGCTTTCTTTTCATCTCTAGCCTTGGCAAATATGACTGTAAATCCATCAGCAGAGGCAGGATTGTTTACATCCCATTCCCCGAATTTCGGCAATGGCCGACCTTTGTCTTGCTGCATATAAACATGGTATTTTACAAAATTAAAATTACCAAATGAAACTACAACTTAATATAACACATACGGCAGTGATTATCTTCTTACTTTATATGGCACTAATGTTAGTTGAGGCATGACACTTCAGGTAGCATTTCCCAAAAGAATTTCTATCAATGTCTCGTATCATGTTTAGCAGTTCATTGGCAACGATCACGGTTGGATAGTGAAAGTAAAACGTATTGAGGGTGATTATTATGGAGGTTGTAAGAATAGAATGGAGAATTGCATTTTTGTTATATATGTATTTTCGCATTATTCATGATAGATGATAGATCTAAAATATAAAAATATTTTCTAATTTCAACAATAATTCTACATACTATACATTTCTATATACATCCTACACTATCTCAATTTTTCTTATTCAATCGCCCTTGTAATGTGTATTATTACATACATTATTCACCGAACCAATGTGTTCTTATATGGAGCTTTGAGCTGCGCAAACCTACTGTTGGATTATATATCATGATAGAGAGGAGCCACAAGTCTAGCATCAATTTCTTGAATACATAATTCAGCCGAATTCTTTGTGTATGTTTACCAACCTTATTTTATTGTTTTTACATAATTGCAATTTTTCCAGCAACAAATATAAATAAATAGGGAAAAAAAACTTACATCTTAGCATCAAAACAATGAATAAATGTAGAAAAATTCAACTCCAAAAAGACATCATGAGTTCCCAAGTTTATTTCTCAATTATTCCCACCAACCCTTCATGCTAATGACATATAAAAGCAAAAAGTATAACATTGAAGTTTCAGAAAGGTTGATGAATTTCAAATTCAATCATGCTACATATACATCTTTTTTTTACATCATCTTGGATATTGTGACACGTGACAACGCATGATTGGACAGTTTAAAAATAAATAAAAATTTCCTCCCCTACACTTTTTGAACTCTCACACAATGTACAACAAGATTTAACCCATTTCAAATCAATCATGCTACATGTAATCCTTTTTTACATCATTTTACTTGTAGCAGATATTACATAACCAGTATACTAGTATGTTTACCAAATATGAAATATGATGAATGAAATTTTAATTCATGGCTAAATAATCCATAAAATAGACTTTAAACTCATATAATCCAGTTAATTTTAATTAGAATTTCCAATATTCTGGTGGTGTTAATTATTCAAATAAAAAAAATTATAAAAAACCTTTAACCCACAATAAAAGATTTCATTCGAAATACAAGATCTTCATTTCTAACTTTTAAATTTGTGATCAAGGGTTTGGGGAAAATTCTGGATGCATAATTTATTGTAAAAATTCCAACAATGATTTCATTCCACAGCAATCATCTCAATAATCAAACAACAATTCAATCATTACGTAATCGAATTGCTATATTTATAAATAAACAAATAAATTCGATCATCTGCAAATAAATAAACAAATACGAAAAAACTTACAGACGCCATTCTCAGAATACTGGTCTGGCGCTCTGATGGATGAGAAAAATGAATACTTTAGAGGGAGAGGGGGCGATCGGTATTCAGAGCGAAAGTTTAGGAGGGATAGGGGTAGGAATTAATTCTAAAAATGGAAATTTTGTATTAGATGATATTGCCACCTATCATATTCGACTTTTAAAACTCTGTTAATAAGTACTTATTATTATATACAAAGTAGCATTATTCTGATAATGATGTATGTGTCTTCTTCGTTACACTAAACTAATCTCTTCTCTAATTTTTTTCATTAAATATTTTAAATTAGGATTTTAATAAATTATATTTTATTTGTTGGACGTGTTATTTTATTTTATAAAAATAATCTCTTTTTGAGTTCCGGGGGCTCTATTTACCTTTACGGTTTTTATATATACATCAACTTCTAAATGATAATTATATATACATATATATTATACATATAATTATATATTTAAAATATGGGTAATTAGTTGAAATGATCCACAACGTTTACACTCTTTGCTAAAATGGTTACTATCGATTTAAAATTGGCACTTGTACACTTATTTCAAACGTTTCTTGCGAAATTGGTCATTCCATCAATATATCGTTA